ACATTATCCTAGTCTCATAAGTTACAGTATTCTCCCTTATCGGGACTTTATATTCAATTGAGTATTGTCTTCTTCCAGTCAAGAGAGCAGAGGGTCTATATATATACAGTATTACAGTATTTTCACCACAATCGAGCTATAATCGATGGGCAGGCTCCTATTAGGCAACCTCTGATCAGATGGTAAGTTATATACTGAGCCTACTATGACCGAGCGCCTATGAGCGAGCCAGAATGGCCGAGATACAGAGCCTAGTATGGCCGAGCACTTATGAGTGAGCCTACTACGGCAGGGCAGTTACACATACCGAGCCTTATAGGCTCGGACCGCTATTTTACATACTATATGGAGAGAGTTGGGTCAGTATCAGCACGTAAGCATATCTTCATATTATTTTTGACTCCCAGTTACATTCAATTATTATATCATCAGTTCAGTTTCAGCTTTCAGTTATTCTGTTGCCTTACATACTCAGTACATTATTTTGTACTGAAGTCTCTTTGCTGGGGACACTGCATTTCATGCCTGCAGGTCTTGATAGACAGATGGATAGTCCTTCCCAGTAGACATAGCCAAACATCAGCTTGGTTGGCAAGCTCCACTTCCCCGGAGTTACCAGGTCTAGACCTTGGAGTTCGTTTTATATATACAGGTTTGATGGGTAGGTAGAGGCCTTGTCCCGACCATGATACAGTTCAACTATCTCTAGAGGCTTGTAGACAAGTCCTGTATNTAATTCAGAATATGACCTCATCTGCCTTACCCCTCTAGAGTTCACAGTTACAAAGTGGTACACTCGGGCCGAGTATGGTACCGGATGCCGGCCACGCCTCTTCAGGTTTGGGGCGTGAAAGAAAGGACACACGTAAGTTGAAATCTTTAACAAATTTTATGGTCCTAAATTTTAGAACTTTATGCATAATTCAAATAAAGAAAGATTTAGTACTTAAAATCCCAGACCCTATTTATGGGAATACACTAAGTTCATTGTTGTTGTTTAATGCTTAAAATTTTAGTTATTTTACTCCTAAATTTTAGGAAAAATTATCAAATTACAGTTTTGTCTAATGTAAAATTTATTTTTAAAGAGTAAAAAAGGCGAACGACGTTTCGCTAAGGGCCTTCGTACTTTTAATATTAATATAATATAGATATAAAAATATGAACAAAAAAATATTATTTAAGTGAAAGGTAGTTCACATATAATAGAAATGTGAAATTGACTATTGAATAAATTATTCATCATTAATTGATACCGGACATTTAACTATCTATATTTCTGTATTGTACTTATTTTGACCTCAATTAGCAATTGATTTACGCTATCAAGAAATTAGCACCACCACTATTTCATTCACGTTATTTAATACTAATAACAACTTGTTTGACAAATAAAATGTTTAGTATCGAAGATACTGTAATTACATAAGCTAAATTTATTGGATTTTGAAGTCGTAAATATTAGGAATCTTTACATAATTCAAATGACAAGAGGGGTTACTCTGATGGTAAGTAACGTCCACTTCCAACCAAGAGGTTGTGAGTTCGAGACTCCCAAAGAGCAAGGTGGGGAGTTCTTGGAGGGAAGGATGCCGGGGGTCTATTGGAAACAACCTCTCTACCTCATGGTAGGGGTAAGGTCTGCGTACACACTACCCTCCCCAGACCCACGATATTTTACTAAGGGCCTTCGTGTTTTTAATATATTATAGATATAGATATATAGATAATGAAATACTCAATAGAAATTAAACTTTACACAAATATAGTCACTAGCAAATTATTTATTATGTTAAATTTGCTCAATATCCATAAAAAATTTAAATTTCAAAATAGAACTACTCTTGCTGAAAATTAGGTAAAGTTGATTAGTACATTGTATAGGGTAAAATAGGTTCATATTAAATGCTCGAATAACAGAGTGACACGTGGAATCAGAGGCAGACAGAAGATGAAGCAAGTGAAAAGCAAGACTGAGGACAACAACTTTAATTGGTACCGGGTAGATCCCGATGGGAACATAATCAACGGGAGCAAACGAATACTTGTCACCAGATGACATTCAATGAATAATATTCCTCAGTATTAAATATGCAACCATTACAGAGAATTTTAGCATTTATGGTCTGCCGTTACATATTCATCAATGGCCTCCATCATTGTCATTTAAGAGGGGCTTGATCCTAGGACCTTGTTCCCTAGGTATAGGTATAAATAGTGGCTTCAACAACCATTGTAACACACGAAAATTCTAACAAACTTATACTATACACTATTCTCAAGCTAAATAACACTTTATTTTCTGTCTAACATTGTTCTTATTGCTGCCTTAGGAAACCTTGATCCCGGAACCAGACTATCTGCTATTTATCTCAATTTCAATGCTAAGACTTATTTTTTAATTAATTTATCTATCATTTTTGGATCAAATCAGTTCATTTGTCTATAAACCACGTAACAAATTTAACTGTACCGTTTTACGGGTAAAGAGTTTGGCACCCATCGTGGGACTTAGACAGTTGCGTAATTGAGTTGATCCTTGAATCTATTACTAACTTGTTTTATTCTTTGTTTCATAGCAAAAAAAAAAATGGTAGCTAACGATGTCAACATCACACAAAACGTTGAGGCGCAACAGAATTTGTCTCAACATGAGTATTCAATCAGTGACACCTGCAACGAGGAAAGCGTAGCAACTCCGGTCCATGAAGGGCATTATCCACGACATGTGCGGGAGATAACTCATGATGGCGCTGAGGACGAGCATATTGCGGAGACAGTAAGGATCTTGAGGGAGCAGCAAAAGGCCATCATGGAGCATCTCTCAAGGCAAGATCATGCCATGATGGAACTAAAGAAGGCATTGTTAGGTGCCTCCAACAATGCGAATGTAAGAGGCCCTATTCCTCTCAGCGCTCCCATAAATCAAACAGCTCAAAAGGTTGATAACAACACCCCGAGGGAAAAAGTTGGCTTCAACGGAACCGGGGAAGGGGGGGATCGACAATTGGTCCGGTAACGACAACGACAATGATCCTTTCAAAATTGAACTCATGAGATTTATGAGGAAAATGAACGAGCGGATAAATGAGAACGCGAAAGAGTTCCACGCCCGAATGGACCATAAAAATCACGCCTTCGGGAGAAACCCTGAGGCAGGCTATAAAAACCGTTCCTTTAACTAACAATGAAGTCGAGTATGAGGCATTGATTGCAAGACTCGAATTGGCCCGGAGACTTGGCTCCGAGGTTATAGAAATCTAATGTGATTCACAACTGGTGGTAAACCAAGTTTATGGGATCTTTGATACAAAGTAGGAACGCATGTAACAGTATGTGATTAAAGTTCAAACTTTGCTCACGCAGTTTCGGGAGTGGTCGATCACCCACATCCCGAAAGAAGAAAATGTAGAAGCATATGCATTGGCCAACTTGGGATCGTCCACGGAGATGAAGGGATCATATTCCGGTACTTTCGTGCAGCTCATGCATTCAGTACTAGATGCGTACGGTTATTGTGAAGTAAATATAACCAACCTAATCTGGGACTGGAGGAATGAGATCATCGATTACCTTGAGCACGACAAGCTGCCCGAAGACTCGAAGGCATCCCGGGCACTCCGTACCAAAGAAGCTCGTTGCAGCTTCTGGGGAGGACAATTATATTGCAGGTTGTTCTAAATCCCATTGTCCTGCCATTTAGGAGCCTCCGAGGCTGACTACGTCATGAAAGAGGTTCATGAAGGAATTTGCGGGAACCATTTCGGTGCAGATTCATTGGTCCTAAAATTAGTTAGGGCAGGATAATATTGGCCCCGGATGGAGCAAGATGCGAAGTCATTCATTCACAAATGCTACAAGTGTCAGCACCACACACAGTTGTTGGACCAACCGGCAAAACTCTTACTCTCGGTACTGTCCCCTTGGCCATTCATGAAATGAGGGATGGATATAATCGAGTCGCGGCCACCGGGACCCGAGAAGGTAAGGTTCTTTTAATTTTAACTGATTATTTTACTAAGTGGGTTGAAGCAGGTCCTTACCAAAAAATTGGTGAGCGCGAAGTGGTCGATTTCCTATGAAAAACATAATTTTCCGGTTCGGAATACCGAAGGAGATTGCCTGCGACAACATACCACAGTTCATAGGCTCCAAGGTCACAAAATTTCTTGAAGACCTGGAAATTAAAAGAATCACATCTTCGCAATACCATCCGAGCGCAAATGGGTAGGCAGAATTAACCAATAAGGTGATTATTCAAAACCTTAAAAAACGATTGTAAGCATCCAAAGGCAAGTGGCCCAAAGAGTTACCAGGAGTGTTGTGGGCATACCGGACGACGGCAAAGTCGAGCACAGGAGAGACACCTTTCTCCCTCATATACGGTACAGAAGCTCTGATCCAGGTGGAAGTAGGAGAACCGACCTTGCGGTACTTCCGGGCGGACGAGCAGGAAAATAATGAAGCATTGCTGGTCAAATTGGAGCTTCTTGACGAACACAGGGACTTAGCGCATAAGGATGGCAGCTCAGAAACAAAGAATGGAAAGGTACTATAACCGGAGGGCCAATCTCTGCTATTTTAAAGTGGGCGACTTGGTTTTGAGGAAAGTAACTTAGAAAACTCGGGAGCTCAACGCGGGAAAGTTGGGTCCGACGTAGGAAGGCCCCTATCGGGTTTTAGCTGTAACCGAGAAAGGGTCATATGAACTAAAGAACCAAGACGGAGTCAAATTTCCGAGCAGGTGGAATGTGGCTCACCTCAAAAGGTATTATTGCTGATGGGCATCGCTTGTACTAAAAGTATGTGCTGCACTCTTTTTTCCTTCGCCCAATTTTTATCCCAATTGGGTTTTTCTTACAAGATTTTTAACGAGGCAGCAACGAAAAGCATACTATGAAAAAAATGTCATCAATAGAGATAAAACCTTTAAATGTCAAGGTATTGAAATAACAAACCACTACAGGATGGTTAAATAATCTTTGGCTCGGTGGCAAATTCCTAATGGGAAGCAAAACTTGCCACCGGACCAAAGGCTATTCAACCGTTCACAAATGTTTTCCTCAGACAAGCCACTAGGGGTGATTAGATAATCTATGGCTCGATAGCAAAGTTCCTAATGGTAAACGAATCTTGCTATCGAACGAATGATTATCCAACGATTCACTAGTGTTTTTCCTTCAAATGAACAAGACTTCCAGTGTTTCGATTCACATTCTTCACATTCCAACACTAGGGGGGACAGTATGAGGATACAACTACCTGATTTCCATAAAAACTGGGACTACGAGACCCGAAATCGATAATGTCTCATCGGGACCAGGGACTACACAGCTAGCCCCGTAGAAACAAGTTGTATAAAACATCCACATGTATTGGCAATTTCTTTTCTTTCAGCACTCGACTACTTATGTACTTTTTAATATAGAAGAAATAAAATGAAGTCCTTTTATTTTTATCTTGTTTCTTATACAAACCATGAATTAATTTTATCATTTGAAAGTTAACTAAGTACTTCAAATGCTAGTGCTGGAAAGAACAGGAGACGTCCTCTTTAAGAGCACCGTAAACATAAGAGGGCCCTCTCTTATGAAATCCTCACAATAAAGGGTTGAAACTGGAAGAGTTTATGCCCGGGATCCAAATGCTATCGAGGAAAAATACACCCGAAGCCTTGTCTAATTTGACAGAAAAAGAATAAACTTTGTGCAATGCTTAAACAAAAAGTACTTTTATTTATTAAACGTGCGAAGCAGAACAAGTATAAAAATACAAAAAGAAAATAACAAAGGAAAAGAAAGCAAAAAAGCTAAACTACGTCACCACCAGAACTCAGGGGAAGAGAGGCATCTACTCCCCCGGAGAAGTATGCAGATCTGCCGCCGGTGCAGGATTTTGGCCCTCGTCATCATTCTCTTCAAGTTTCTCCTCGGTTCTTGAGGACTCAAAACCGGAACTAGAAGAATCGGTTGCATTAGGCTGAGCCCGTAGGCATTCTCGGGTAGCTAACTCCAGCGTTTCGGCCTTGGCAATCTCATCGCCAATATCAATAACGCCCTCTTTTGCCTCTTCCAAAATTTTCCTCCTCATGTGGTACATAGAATGTGTCTTTTCAATAATTATGGAATCCCCTCGGTGCTGAAGTTTTGCTTTAAGCCTATCAACCTCGGTCAAAAGGCCATCCCTCTCGGATCTCATGGTGCTAAGGCGAAGATCGAGATCACAGATTGTGGTTATATGAAACTTATTGTGACCCATGATCATTTTATACCTATCCTCCATCTTGGCACACTTCTCCTCGGCAGCAACAACCTCTTCAGCTTGGGAATTCAAGGCTGGCTCCAAGTTATTCACTTGCTCAATAGAGGGAGACTCGCATTCGACAGTAGCAAGCATGACATCATGAACTATGGACCATTTAGCCTTAGCTTCTTGGAATTGAACATTTAATCAGGAAGCTTCTTGACTAAGGGCCACTACCTCCTGCTCGCTATGCTGTAGTCAGGCCTCAATATCACTCGCCTAAGTGGCTTTCGCTTCTAATACCAGGAGGCGCGCCACAAGTTGATTCCTATCAGCCAACAGCTGATACGGCTCGGACTTGAGTCCTTCTTTGTTTCTTAACTAAAGGCCACTACCTCCTGCTCGCTATGCTGTAGTCAGGCCTCAATATCACTCGCCTAAGTGGCTTTCGCTTCTAATACCAGGAGGCGCGCCACAAGTTGATTCCTATCAGCCAACAGCTGATACGGCTCGGACTTGAGTCCTTCTTTGTTTCTTAACTAAAGGCCACTACCTCCTGCTCGCTATGCTGTATCCGGGTGTCAAGATCACTCGCCTCAGCGGCTTTCTCTTCTAATATTGGCAGGCACACGACAAGTTGATTCCTATCAGCCAACAACTGATCCCGCTCGGACTCGAGTCCTTTTTTGTTAAGGATCAATTTTTGAAGGCCCTCGAAAGCAAGGAAGTTGGCCTGTAAAGCAAATATCGAAGTCAGGAACCCTATTGTAACAGACGAAGAGAAACAAACAGTAAAAGGAAGTATAATATCGCTGATGCATTGTGCATGGCGTTATTTATCATACACTCCCTCGAAAGAGAGTGTATTTTCTTCTTCTCTGATAATTGGCGAGTTCTACCGGCCTTGACATCAGATGGAACTCCGTTGACACTGGGAGAGAGACACTCCTCCTCCCCTAGGATCTGCATAAGGGGGCGAGTAATTGTTCCCCAAATTCTCGTGGTCAGGGGACTGGGAAAGAGGGACGTCCTCCTCTCGGGCATCTGCGGCGGGTGGGGGAGATGTAGCAGTTGCTAGTGATGAAGGTATGGCCGGTGTGGAGGGAGACGAAGTTGATGGTATTGTAGGTTGAGAAGCAGAGGCAGTGCTTTTTATTAGTTGCTCAACAACTGAAGGCAGAAGAGACCCAGTATCCAGCCTCATAGGATCGGAAGCAGCGAGTAGGACCGGAATGGGAGAATCAACATTCTCCACCAAATCCATTTCTTCAAAGAGGTCGCCCTTGGTTAGGGTTTCAAGCTCTCCAGATTGAGCATTATGTTGAGCTGATGAAGATCGTCGTCTCCTTTGTAGGGAAGCCTCTTCATCACTAGCTTCCCCACCATCGTCACTAACAACAGTGGTTGCGGCGGGCATAGGCGTGGCTTTCTTCACTTTCTTGTTTTTACCTTCGGTCAAGGAAGAATGCCACATTTTTATTTCTTGTTCTCCGGTCGGGGACTCCGAGAGGAAGAACCTGCACCGGAAGCAGACCTGAGGGCACCAGTCCGGGTAAAAGCCTCATTCAACAACCTCGTAGCCCCTACAGGATCAACCAAAACATTCTCCTCAGGAATAGAGACAGAACCCTGCGGGAGACCAGAAGCAAGCAAGAAGGTAGAGTTAGAAGGTTTACTCATGTACGAAGATGGAGTAAAAGAAGAGTTAGTTTATCATGATTCATGGCCCTCCACCCGTATTTCGGGCCAACTTCTTCCACCGGTGGGTCTCTTACGTAGTTATGTCCAGAAACTTCTGAACCAACTGGTCCAGACCTTCAACCCTTGGTGGTGTCCACCAAGTTGCTGAAATAATGAAATAAAAAAGGTTAACAATGACATGAAACAACTTGTTTTCAGAGAAAGAGATAAACTTTAAACTTACATGAACGACTCCAGGATTAGGAGAAAAATGGAGTTGTGACCAGGATGATATCCCTAGTAGTAAAGATGACAAACTGCTCCATCCATCCGCTGTCATTTTCGTCATCTATGCTGGTGAGCAAAGCATGGTGGCCACGCTTGCTGAAGTTTCTTACTCCCCCACGAAAGATTTTAGGGGAGTAGATGTAACGACCTAGTCGGTCGTTTTGAGAGTTGTAGTCATATTCCCCCATTTACTGCTCATTCTATACTTTATATCTGTATTGTGACTTATCGGGGTAGTCAGTTTGAGTCCGAAGAGATTTCAAAATGAATTGAGACGCTTAAACTCAAGGTTAAAAACTTAAGTTGAAAAGGTTGATCGAATATTTACTTATATGTAAACAACCCCAGAATAGAGTTTTGATGATTCCAATAGCTCCGTAAGGTGATTTTGGACTTAGAAGCATGCCCGAAAAATTATTTGAAAGTTCGTAGATAAATTAAGCTTGAAATGGCTAAAATAAAAATTTATGTTTGGAAGTTTGACTGGGGACTTGACTTTTTGATATCGGAGTCGGAATCCAGTTCTGAAAAATTTCATAGCTCCGTTATGACATTTATGACTTGTGTACAAAATTTGAGGTCAATCGGACTTGATTTGATAGGTTTCAGCATCGAATGTAGAAGTTGAAATTTCTAAGTTTCATTAAGCTTAAATTGGAGCATGATTCGTGGTTTTAGCATTGTTTGATGTGATTTGAGATTTCAACTAAGTTCGTATGATGTTTTAGGACTTGTTGGTATATTTGGTTGAGGTCCCGGGGGCCTCGGGTGAGTTTCAGATGGTTAACGGATCGAAATTTAGACTTAAACAGCTGCTGAAATTTTCTGATGCCTGTATTTGGTTTCCTTCATCGCGTTTGCGAGGGCAGTCTCGCGTTCGCGAAGATTAAATTCGGACTGGCTATTTTGTGCTTCCCATTCGCGACAGGGGGCACGCGTTCGCGAAGGGTCGAGGGGCAAGGCTACGCGTTCGTGATCGAAGCCTCGTGTTCGCGAAAGGGAAAGTCGGCCTAGGGGAAATTTGGTCTTCACGTTCGCGAGACTGGACTCGCATTCGCGAAGGAGGAAATCCGGGCAGCACAAAAATGTGCTTCGCGAAAGCGAGGGAGCTGTCACGTTCGCGAAGAAGGAATGCCAGGAGAGAGAGTTTAAGTTCTGAAAATGGGACTTCCATTTTTACCGATTTGGAGCTCCGGGAGAGGCGATTTTCTGCAGATTTTCAAGAAAAACATCGGGGTAAGTGTTCTTAACTCAATTTTGGTTAAAGTACCCGAATCTATGGTAGTTTTTAATATTTAGTTGGTAGATTAAGTTGGAAAGATTGTGAAAATCCCTAAGTTTAGATTG